TGAGGCTTACTTCCAGGAAAGTGTTCTTAAGATCGCAGCCTCTGTTAACTAAATTGGCAGCCATTTGACTGCTTCTTCCAGGTCCAGTTTGCAGATGGCAGATCCTGACTCCGTGTCATATAAAATACGTGCTCTGGTTGTTTTATTGACTTGCTTTGTTTTTATTGCCTTCAGGCAGGTTCTGGAGAGGTGGCATACAAATTCTCTACATAAATTAATAAATAGTAAAATTAATTCACACCATCAGACCCCTTCCCACCTCGCAGCATCATACAATGTTTAGTCTACAAGAGGGCTTTAAAAAAAAAAAAGGAAACGGAACTAGTAGTTCTACTTAGTCGGTTAATCTGCACTATAAAAAAATGGACACAGAAGGAAAGCTTTTTCAATCAGGCCACTAGTTTAGGAATGGCAAATTTTACACATAACATATAAAATACGTGCTCTGGTTGTTTTATTGACTTGCTTTGTTTTTATTGCCTTCAGGCAGGTTCTGGAGAGGTGGCATACAAATTCTCTACATAAATTAATAAATAGTAAAATTAATTCACGCCATCAGACCCCTTCCCCCCCCTCGCAGCATCATACAATGTTTAGTCTACAAGAGGGCTTAAAAAAAAAAAAAGGAAACGGAACTAGTAGTTCTACTTAGTCGGTTAATCTGCACTATAAAAAAATGGACACAGAAGGAAAGCTTTTTCAATCAGGCCACTAGTTTAGGAATGGCAAATTTTACACATAAAGGGAGTAGGGATGCCAGCCTCCAGGTGGGACCTGGGGATCCCCTGGAATTACAGCTCACACCTCCAGACTACAGAGAACAGTTCCCCTGGAGAAAATGGACGCTTTGAAGGGTGAACTCTATGGTACTGTACCCCACTGAGGTCCCTGCCCTCCCCACGATCCATCCCCAAACTTCCAGGAGCTGCCCAACCTGGATCTGGCAACCCTACCCCTCATCTCCAGCTGGTGGCCAGGAGGGACTTGGCAACCCTAGGGAGGCAAAGCGTTTGGCATGCACTTACTTCTTCCCAAAAGGCTAGCAGAGAAGATGTAGACGAGGAGGAAACAGAGTCCTTAGTTGTGACAGATATGAGAGGATAAAAATGATCACTTATCACCCAACACAACATGCTGTCAGAAGAAGGGACAATAAGCAAACTATCGAGATAAAGCAAGCATTTGGTGGAAGTTTTTGGAATGCAAAAGCAACATGCTTTTCTGATGCTCCCATGTTTTCTGCATGTGTTAACCAAATTAAACCTTCCTAATCAATCTCCCCCCAGGGCAGTCTTTGCCTGCCAAATCAAGTTGGTGAGGAATCAATGGAAACAGCAAATTTGACACCCAGCTCTTAGCGCAAGCCCAGCTGAAGGGCCACCAGCTGACGTGGTGGTGGGGGGTGGGGGTGCAGTTATCACCACTCAAGCCTCCTTTCTCCATCTGCAGTATGGAAATAACAGTAAGCTGTCCTTTGACAGCTGTTACAGGGCCAAATGAAAAAGGGAGCTTAAAAAGAACCACATACACAAAGTGTAAGACGTAAAGCAAAGTGCCTCTCGCAGATCTCCCCCACCCCAATCTACCTCGAAAAACTTTTAACTCTAATGCAGCAAAGACCTTTTCTGTTTCAAGCTGCGGACAACACCTAAGATTTGGCAGCAGCTGATGTTTATCTTCCCTCTATTCTGTGCCCCTCCCCTTCCAAAGAGTGGGTGGAGAAGAGCGTGCAGCACATCTTTCTGCAACGGCAATGAGCCGATACCCACATCTATGACCAACAGGCAGCACAAGCTTTTGCGTTATTCATAGAGAGCCTTGCCAGCCAATTGATCTTTTCTCTTTGGCAACCAGCAAGCAGGGTGAAAAGGAAATAAGGATGGCGGGGGGGGGGGCGTTTCCACAAAGAAATGCTTCCCGCATAGCAATGCTGCACAGGTAATAAGGCAATGTGAAAAATGAATCCCGGCGTACAGTATTGGCATGTATGATTTCCTCTTTATTCTGGCCGCTCTAATATTTTATAAAACAAGCCCCCCCGAATCAATGAGAACGGAGAGGGCTTAATGCGGCATGACTAATTCCGAGTTTCGCTGTACTACGCTTTCCTGGGGGAACGCGCGAGTTATTTGCAAAGCAACCCACTCATCAGCAGCTAGGAATCAAGAGAGGATGTGTGTCATGACTCAGCTCAAATATAAACCAATAGCAATTTATCCTAATTGCTCAGTTGAAGCCTCAAGGCTTTGGGGGGGTGGGGTGGGGGAGATCACATGTAACCAGTGCAATTACTGGTGGAAAAACAACAGGTTTTAAGGCTATTACATCTTGTCCAGCTTGTGAACTCCCCTCCGACGCCCCCAGGCACGAATCTGAATGGCCACCTCTGAAGGCAGGATTAGGTGTACCCATGGGCCCAAGGCAGCAAGGCTGTATTTCTCTCTGTTTGTTTGGTTTGAGATATCATATCCCGGAGATTCACAAATATTGGCTTGCTTATTAGCCAGCTTCTGTTTGCGCTCGACACTAGTTCCTTCCCCTCTACTGAGGTTACTGGCACAAACACAGGACCTGAGGAGGGGTGAAGCAGAGTCTTCATACCTGCACTGGGTCTGAGTAAGGCAAGAACCCAGAGTCTCCACCTCTTCTGTTTCTCATCTTGCCTATTCTTCCTGGCAAGCGAGAAAGAAAATCCCCTGCCTCTCCCTAAGCCCGTCGGGCACATGCAGATTGTAGAAGACGCAGGGGGTTCTGTGATACTGCGCCGGGCTCTGGATAATAAAAGGAGCAGTGCAAGACTCCTGCCCTTTCTGGTCTTCTCCAAGCCAGAATGCAAGTCCGTACTTGCATGTGTGCATGCATGCGTATGTGTGGGTGGGTGGGTGGGGGAAATGAGCTGCCGGACACCTTTCCTACCTGAGGCACTTGCCCCTGGCAAAGTGGCAGGCAGATTTACCGGTTGCCTGGTACATTCCACTTTCTTTTCCAACCGGCGGATGACTTCTCATTTCAAGTGTTGTCATGTTCACAGTGATGCTTCGCAGATACATTAAGTGGTGGCGGAAAGGGCCGTCAAGTCACGGCTGACTTACGGCAACCCCGACGGGTTCCCAAGGCAAGAGACGCAGAGAGGTGGGGGTTTGCCACGGCCTGACTCTATGTAGCTACTCTGGGCTTCCTTGCTGGCCTCCCACCCAAGCCGTGGCCAGGGGCAACCCTGCCTAGCTTCTGGGGTCTGACCAGATCGGGCTTGAGCCACCCAAGCTAGGGCTACACTAAGTACTGGAGAGCATGCCTTGCTTTCAGCACCCTAAAGTGTATGCTGGCCTGGGTGACCCAAACTAGCCCCATCTTGTCAGATCTCAGAAGTGAAGCAGTCTTTGGATGGGAGCCCCCCACCCCCCAAAGGAAGTCCAGGGTCGCTACGCAGAGGCAGGCAATGGCAAACCACACCCAAGTGTCTCTTGCCTTGGAATCCCTATGGGGTTGCCATAACTCAGTTGTGACTTCACGGCACTTCCCAGCACCACCAAGTGTAGGCTTGGGAAGCAACATCCGCACTCGAGGGTCCTAGGGGATTGATTGCCTTTTGCGCTCCTTTTAAAAAGTCTAACTGCTGATCTTACAGAC